AACTTTTTCAACAAATATCTCTCTCGTAACTATACCACATGTTAGCCCGTCATCGACGAACACTAGTCGACTTAAAACTTTAAAGTGGCGGTCTTGCCCAAAAAGACTATCAAACAACCTACCGCAGTGGACTTAAAAGTGCCGGTCTTCTAGGGGAAGACTATTAAACAACAGACGCAGACTAGTAGACTTAACAGTGCCGGTCTTGTAGGGAAGACTATTAAATAATGGACATTAATTGACTTAAAAGTGTCGATCTTATAGGGGGAGAATCTTAAACAACATATGCTAAAAGAAATATATTAATTATATATTTTATTTATATTTTAAAAATACAAAATTAAAAATAAGATTATAAATGATATATAAGATATCTCATTTCATTACTAATTATTTTCCCTGAGGCCACGGGTTGGCCCTTCTTCAGTCTGCCCTCTAGACATGGTAATGGTAACAGCAAGAATATTCCTTCATCCACCCCTAAAAATTTCATTATCAATTTTTTTTATATCTAGTCTTCTCCGATGCAGTTTTTGTTTTATATCACAATTTGCTATATATTATTTCGGCTTAAATTAAACGTAATAGAAAAAAAGTAGGGGCAGGACATTAGGCTTTTACTGGGCAAGACATGGGGTTATAATTTAAGGCCTACATGTAATAGGGTCAGGTTCAACTTCCTAGTCTTCTTGACTTTAAAAAATTGTTAAGTCAGTCTTGCAAGTGGGGATGAGTATTAGGTTGGTGCATATTCATTATTGATTAATATTTTATTTATTTAAATAAATATTGTAATTAAATTATAAAAAATTATATAATAATATAAAAATAATATATTTATAAATATTATGTCATATAATAAATATAAGAATTTAAAATTATTTATTTAATTAACATTTTACTTATATTTACATAATTTAAATTATATATCTTTATTATATTTAATATCTACATAATAATAATAATTTTTAAAATTAAAAAAAATTAAAAAAAAGTCTATAAGTAAAATAAATTACACAAGTAGTAATAGTAAGTTATATAAATAAAAAATTTTAAACTAAATACATAACACACAACAATAGTAACATGTACAAAACCTCTACTTTATATCTTCTTTTCTAAAATCAAGTACATAAATATATACTTATAAATTATTTAGTATCTTTTTACTTAGTTATCAAGTATAAGTCTTTAAATATTTAAATAAGTATCAAACCTAAAATGTCTACCTAAAATTTTTAAATCAAATAACAAATATATCTAAAAATGCTCACTGATACCCGCAAGGAAAGAGTGCTCTATTTTTATTTTTATTTTTTTCATTTTTCACCTGAATGGACAATGTGCTTAGACTCCAACTCAATTTAACTGTCTTATAGACTTTTTTTTTCTGTAATTTTAAATAATATTTTATGGTATATGAACAGTGAATGAAAATCTTTTTAAAAAAATTATTCCAAAAAATTAATTACAAAGTAAAAAAAATTTAATTACAAGTCATATATTATATAAAAATATTACTTACAATTACCTATAAAAATTTTACAAACAATTAATTTGAGGTGGAGGTAATACTAAAGAGTAAAAGACCATAAGGACTTCCCGCCCTGGCATTAACCACTAGGATTCGAGTGATCAAGGATGGAAGAGAAAAATAGCCTAAATTAATTACTAATCACATAATCTCTACACTGCACTGTTTTATTATATCTTTTTATTTAATAACATATAAGATCTAGATAAAAAAAATTATGCCAAAAAATTATTTCTACACCACTACCCCTCCCTTAAAATATAAAAAAAATAAGTACTATTATACTAAGATGAGAGTACTATGGTTTTTAATTTTTAATATTTTAAATAAATATAAAATTTGTTACGAAAAGTATTTTTCAGTTAGATTTTTTAAAAATTAGAAAAAAAAGTCCGAAAATTACCTTATTTCAATAAATTTATTCAGAGAAAGACTAATTAACTTATTTTTAAAGTAAAAATGAAATGATATTGATTTCTCTTGTGGTGCCTAATGAGACTATTAGTTTTAGAATAATGATAAATAAGATTAAAATTTAAGTTATGTGATTTAAAATATTAATAAATATATTTTATATTATTTAATGATTGAATCTTTTTATTTTTTTTTTCGGTTTCTCGTCCGGTATCCGGGGCTTCGGCCCAATTAATCCGGACCCAACCCGAGTCACGCACCTGGAAATGGTGGGTGACTCTCTCAACGAAAGCTGCTGCGTACGTAAAGACTCGAACTCGAAATCTTATTTAAACTGGATTGAATCTTTTTATTTTAGTAATGTTTGTATGTAATATCATATGTATTAACTTATTTAATAATATAATTTATACATCATTACTTTCAAATTTTGGTTCCAAAATTTCCTTTTAATTTTTTCAAAGTCCAGCTTGTAAATATTAATATTATATATTTTTTATCTAATACTTTTTATATTTTTGGATAATGAAAAGATAAAAAATAAAAATAAAAACTAAAGTATTGCATTCACGAACTGTGACATAAGCAGCCAAACTAACCCACTTTCGTACATAAAACCCCTAAACTATTTTTTATCCTTACAAGCCCCTTAACTTTGGGATATAAGCACGTTAATCCTTTGTTCACGCTTTCGATACTAGTTTAAAAATCTGATCAATGCAATCAAAGGAAATAGTTCAACCATAGTTCAGTGCATATACTTTTCAAATTTTAAACAAAATAAAACCCTACACTTAAACAAGCTTTACTAATTTTTTTTTTTTTTTTAAGTTATCAATCCAAAACCTCACCATGGTTTTCATCTTTCAAGAAATCCATTAAACATCATTTTCGAAATTTCTCCCCAATTCATCCCAAAATCAAAATGAAAAATTGAAAAGGCAGAAAAGTCAAGGTATATATTTTCAACATTAATATTCTTGTTTTTTCTAATGAGAGCAAGTACAATTCTGTATTAATCTAATTGGAAGAGAAAAAACCCGTAAAGCTGAAATGAAATCTATTTATGAATTAGGTAAGGACAAAATTTTAGATATGCTTTAAATCAATTTTAGTTCTTAAAGAGTTTTAATTAGGGGGCGAAAAAATAAAAGTTAATTGTGCTTAGCTTCTTGCCTACATATATAGATAATGTGCAAATAACTCAGTTATTTCATTCATTTATTTAATAATTAAATCTAAAATTCCATTTATTTTTACAATTTATTAATATTTTAATTAGAGAAAATTTATCCCATAGGTTACATTTGAAGAGAGCTTAATTCAATAGTTAGCTTATTAACTATTAGTTCAATTTTATTTTAGTCTAAAAGGTTATTTTTTCTTTCTAAATAATCTGTAAATTTTGTAAAATATTTTAGAATAGTTTATCGTATAAAATTTTCATTAGTTTTAACAAAAAAACTAATAGAAAAGTTAAATTAAAATTAAAACAAGGTAATCCTAACCAGAAAAGCAGCTCGCAACAAACTGTACAAACTATTAAAATATGTTAATAATTATGATTTCTGCTACAAAAGAGAAATGTCAAAAGGAAAAGCTAAAGTAGTATATGATAAAAGTTATAGTTTTTCAGACAATAAAAAGAAATTTATTATCCTCACAAAATTAATTTTATTTCAAAATTAATTCTAATGGGTAAAAATTCACAAAAAATATAATTGAAAATCAATTTGATAAAATGGAGTGAAATTATAATTAGAAAGTTAATAAATTAGACTAAACTAAAATAAAAGTAAAAAATAATAAATTAATTTGAAAGTATTTAAAAAATAATAGAGAAAACACAAAAAAACACAAAAATTATTAAATTGTTTATTAAATTAAGTTTTTCAAGAGCTACCATTAATTTTATATACATATATATATATATATATATTGATCTCTATATTTTTTTTAGAAAGAACGAGTTGAATAACAAAAATTTATTTCATTGTAGTCTTCTTTTTTTTCTTTAAGTTGATTTTGGGATGCGTTGGAAATATGATATTGAACGGATTTATCAAGACCTGTGTGTGACTTGGAAACCATGTTGAGGACTATATATATATATATATATATATATATATATATATTTTATCATAGGATTATTTCTTTGTGTTTCTTGTTTTAGTTTTTTTTAGCAAATTTAGTTAAAAATGAAAGAACTAATTTTCGTTAAATATGAAAGTATATATATTGACTAAACTACAATTTAACCATTATCTTTGACCGCTGTGATTAGATTTTTTTTTTTTTTTTAAGGGAAACTAGTAGAACCGTTAACAAAGGGTTTCATTCTGGTATATATTGGAGAGTTAAGGGCTTAAAAGTCTAAAAAGATAGTTTAGGGGCTTGTGTCGAAGAATAGGGTAAGTTCAAGAGCTTAAGATTTGCCATTATAATATTAATGTGCAACCAAAATTAAAAATCATCCGTTATCAAAGAAAAAAAATTAAAATCATCTAAATATCTGATCTTCCACACAACATTTAAACCGTAATCAAGATGACCAAAAATTTCCATGATAGGTAAAAAGAGAAGAAATTTCCACGAACCATAGTTATCTCTAAGAATTGAAAGCCATTTTTCAAACTTTTCCACTCTGCACGTTGCACAACAGTAGCACAAGACCTGCAAAAGCTGTATTATTATTATGGTGGGGCAAAGGGACGATGAAAGCACCAATTAAATTGACTTTAAAGCAACAAGGACCAAAAAGACATCCAAGTCTTGGCGAACGCGCTCAAGTGATCATGATCGAAATACAAAAATAGGTTGCTTTAAATCACTTACTCGGAATCTTTATCTTTAGTGTAACTTCGGGGAAAGGTGTTTTATTTGCCGGTCCATGGGACTATATATTAATGTACAAGCAAAATTAAATATCACATCTCATCTTCCATACAATATTGAAAACATCATTATGAGGGAAACTTTCCGTGCTATGCTTGTTCTAGTTGCTGTATTGTTCTTTGGAGCTGCAGAATTTTGTTCCGGTCGGAACACGAGCTTTAGCTGTATAGAAAAGGAGAAAGAAGCCCTCTTGAAGTTCAAACTTTGTTTCCATGATCCATCGCATGTGTTGTCTTCTTGGAAAGGCAATGACTGTTGTGAATGGAGAGGAGTAGGCTGTGATAAAAATAATGGATATGTTATCTCGCTTCAACTCAAGGGATCAGTATTTGCTAATCAACAACTTCAATTGTATTTGATTGACGATGTAGAGGAGGTTGGTTCAAGTTTGCTCAAGTTGAGATACTTGGAACACCTGGACTTGAGCCACAATAATTTCAATGGTAATCTTATTCCACCCTCCTTTGGCTCGATGAAGCAGTTGAGATACCTAAATCTCTCTTGTGCACAATTTAGAGGAAGAATTCCTGGTGAACTTGGAAATCTTACAAGGCTTCATGTCCTTGATCTTTCTCAGTATTATTTTGGCCTTGATCTTACTAATTATTATTTTGGGGGATTGAAGGTTGATGATGACATTCAATGGATTTCTCGTTTCTCTTCTTTGCAACAACTTGATATGAATGGAGTAAATCTAAGCCATGCCTCATCAAACTTGTTCCAGGTACTTGGTATGCTTTTTTCGTTATCATGGTTGAGTATGTCAAATTGTAGTATAAAAAATTCTCACCTACCATCTCACAACCACCCCCTTAATTTTACATTGCTTAGAAATATTCAACACTTTGATATGTCACATAACTCTTTTCATGGTCCAATACCTATTTTTCTCCAAAACATGACTTCATTGACATTTCTTGATATGAGTGGAGTAAATCTAAGCTTTACATCATCAAATTTGTTTCAGGTACTTGGCATGCTTCCTTCACTATCATGGTTAAGTTTGTCAACATGTAGTCTCAATAATTGTCACTTGCCATCTTACAACCATCCCTTTAATTTTACATTGCTTAGCAATATTCAACACTTAGATCTTTCAGATAACTTTTTCCAAGGTCCAATACCTATATTTCTCCAAAACATGACTTCCTTGATAGTTCTCTCTGTTTTTGGAAATCAATTGTGTGGGAGTATTTCAGATAGCATTGGGCAACTTTCTAAGTTAGAAAGCATAGATCTCTCTTACAATCAATTGAATGGAAGTATTCCGAATAGCATCGGACAACTTTCTAAGTTAAAGAGCATAAATCTTTGTGCCAATCAATTGAGTGGGAGTATTCTAGATAACATCAGGCCACTTTCTAAGTTAGAAAGCATAAATCTTTATGCCAATCAATTGAATGGGAGTATTCCAGATAGCATTGGCCAACTTGCTAAGTTAAAGAGCATAGATCTTTCTGCCAATCAATTGAGTGGGAGTATTCCAGATAGCATCGGCCAACTTGCTAAGTTAGAGAGCATAGATCTTTCTGCCAATCAATTGAGTGGGAGTATTCCAGATAGCATCGGCCAACTTGCTAAGTTAGAGAGCATAGATCTTTATGCCAATCAATTGAGTGGGAGTATTCCAGATAGCATCGGCCAACTTGCTAAGTTAGAGAGCATAGATCTTTATGCCAATCAATTGAATGGGAGCATTCCAGATAGCATCGGCCAACTTGCTAAGTTAAAGAGCATAGATCTTTGTGCCAATCAATTGAATGGGAGCATTCCAGATAGCATCGGCCAACTTGCTAAGTTAGAGAGCATAGATCTTTCTAACAATCAATTGAGTGGGAGCATTCTAGATAGCATCGGTCAACTTGCTAAGTTAGAGAGCATAGATGTTTATGCCAATCAATTAAGTGGGAGAATTCCAGATAGCATCGGCCAACTTGCTAAGTTAAAGAGCATAGATCTTTCTACCAATCAATTGAGTGGGAGCATTCCAGATAGCATCGGCCAACTTTCTAACTTGGAGGGCATATATCTTTCTTACAATCAATTGAGTGGGAGCATTCCAGATAGTATCGGCCAACTTGGTAAGTTAAAGAGTATATATCTTTCTTGCAATCAATTGAGTGAAAGCATTCCAGATAGCATCGGCCAACTTTCTAACTTGGAGTGCGTATATCTTGTTGACAATCAATTGAGTGGGAGTATTCCACATAGTATCTGGCAACTTTCTAAGTTGGAGAGAATAGATCTTTCTGGCAATCAATTTAGAATAAGATTTCCTGAACGGCTTCAATTACAAAAGACAATACTCATGGTTAATCTCTCTAATGCTAGCATCTTAGGTCCTCTTCCAAAAAACATAGGTCATATGATGCCAATGTTGCCAGAAATTGTATCTTGCAAATAACCTCATAAACGGTTCAGCTCCAAAGTCACTATGCAATTTAAAATATTTGGAAGTACTTGATCTCTCAAGCAATATGGTATCTGGAAATATTCCAAAGTCACTATGCAATTCAAAATCTTTGATATTTCTTGATCTCTCAAAAAATATGCTATCTGGAAGTATTCCTAATTGTTGGAGAAAGAATCAATCATTCATGTTTATGGATCTATCTTCTAATAATCTCTCAAGTGTATTTCTAAGCACAATGACACAGCTTTCTTCTTTAAATATACTGCACCTGAACAACAATAGTCTCCATGGGGAATTGCATGTAGTCTTGAAAAACTTCACTTCTTTAGTGGTTTTGGATTTGGGTGAAAATAAATTTTTTGGAAATTTAACAAGCATTGTAGAGGGCGAGATCAACAACCACTCTTTAAAGGTTCTCCGACTGCGAAAAAATTTGGTTTCCGGTTATATTCCTTTGGAACTATGCTCTTTCTCTCAATTGCAAATTCTAGATCTTGCAGATAACAATCTGACAGGAAGGATTCCTCCTTGTTTTGGAAAGTTTCCGATTATGGTGAATGCAAGAAAATTGAGCTATGACCATTGGGATCAAGAATTTTGGGTGGAGGATGTACTACAAACCGACCTCGGGAATTGGGATCAGGCACCTTTGAGAGAGGTTGTGAAAGGGAGATATCTTGAGTATAGACAAATGACTCTGAAACTTGAGGTTATTATGGATCTTTCAAGTAACAATCTAATAGGACCTATACCAGAGGAGCTAATTTTCCTTAAGGATTTGCATAGTTTGAATCTATCTTGGAATCATCTCTCAGGAAAGATTCCAGAGAAAATTGGACAAATGGAGAATTTGGAATCTCTTGATTTCTCCAAGAATGGCCTCTCAGGAACAATCCCGAATAGCATGTCAAGTTTAACCAAATTAAGCCACCTCAACTTGTCCTACAACAATTTGTCAGGCCAAATTCCAACAGGTTATCAACTCCAAACACTTGAAGATCCAACCATGTATGTAGGCAACCCTCAACTCTGTGGAGCTCCACTCCTGAAGAAATGCTCAAACGATACATTACCCCCGGCAATTGCCAACTTCAAGGACAACGATCAAAGCAAACTTAAAAGAATGTGGTTTTACATTGTCGTGATGTTAGGCTTTGCAATTGGATTTTGGGGAGTCGTGGGAACTTTGATTTTTGTGAAAAGTTGGAGATATGCTTATTTTCAATGGGTTGATGATGTCCAACATTGGATACTTGTGGTTATAACATTGAAGGTGGCACGATTCAAAAAGATGTTCAATGGCAACCCGAGATGATTAATAAGTTATATATAGAGTGTTGTTGATGCTACATTTATTATTAAATTAGTTAAACAACCCCATGTTGTAGCGTATGGTGTCAAGTCCAACTTTGAATGGCATAATATTGAATAGGCCAATTTTAAATGAATAAATAAGTATTGGAGTTTGTAAAGTTTTCAATAATATAACATATGCTATAGTTCTATAGGTTTCATAAAAACAAAAATACATAGATTTTGACAAAAAATAGAGAATTCTATGCAAGACTTTCAGGTTGCTTGGATTTTTATATTTTCAATTTTGTTAAAACAAGAAAGTAAAAAAAGGAAAGCAAAAGATGAAAGACTGAGATAAGAAGAATGGCTCAGATAGGTATACGATAATAGCCAAAATAAAATCCTCACATATTCATGGTCAAAATTTGAAACTTTCAATCACACAATCAAATTGCTTAATAGTTAATTGAGTATCCAATGTAATACAACTCTTACATAAAATTTCCATGTCTTCAATATTTCCTAAAAGACATTTTCATATTGCATAAGACATATCAATTACAGATTCAAAACATTGTCAAGACTAAATAGTAAAGTCCAGTATGTTAGTTTAACCCTGAATAACTAACTGATTCTTGCAACAGGAAATGAAACACAATTGATCATTTGTTGTTTTTAATTTTATGTCAAAACTCTAGATATATAATATGTAAGAGGCCTGAAAGCCAAAGCACACAATATAGAAAAACCTGGATAAACTTCAAGAATAAAGAGAACATCCACAAAAGGATAAAGATTAATACCTTGCATTGCCTTTTTCCCAACTAACCATCTTCAGATAAAGGCACTAAAAAAGAGTATATCTAATTGAGAAAAATATACAGATAATTCTAATGTTTTTCATTTAGAAGATGATGTTGGTATATTTTATAATACAAAAATAAAATATAAGGGTACTGTTTTTTATGGTCAAACCTTGGGTCTTCTTCATCTTGCACTCAATGAAGGTGTAGATGCCACCGCAGCATCTATGAAATGATTAACATATTTTCAACCTGCAAAATTATATTAAGAAAATTATGCAACTAAAGTTACAGGAAACTTGTGAAATAAGATTATAAGTCTCCATCATGTACATGATAATATAATACATGTGTAACCAAATTGTATAGCAAATCCTACTACTTAGACAACATTCCCAAAGTAAGCAACTCTCACTTTATATTTTTATTTCTATTCCCATCTGTACTACTTATAAAAGAGTTTAAGATTTTGAGTTCAAAAGTCTTAAATTCAAAATTTTGAAACAAACCAAGAGGGTGAAAAGAGATATAGAAAATAAGAAATAATTATTCTCTTTTGTATTAATGGTGAAGATGAAGAAAAAGAAAAGTGGAGGGGCCAAAAAGATAAATACAGCTCATTGAAGAATTTAAAGAAAATAAAATGAACTCACAATATCCAACCAATTGGTTAAGGCAAAGTTGGTGAAGAGGAAGAAGACTCATACCTTAAACTAAAATGTGAAAAAATTGTAGAATCACAAAATGAAAATTTGCATACCTCAAAAGCTGTCTCTCTTCCAAACACCATCTTTCCAGTCATCAATTGAAGACCATCGAAAAGTCAATCTAAGCTCTCCCCCTTTAAGATACTATATATGTTTGAAGCAATATTCAAGCATTTTATATTTGACTTCAAAGGCAAGATAGCTGGATTAAGTCTACTTAAAATTAGTACATGTTCTCATTAAAAAAAAAATGCTAGTACATATTGATTCTTCATAAATCTAAATTTACAATCATCTCCTCTTCTTAAAGCTCTAATAGCCATGAATAGCTAAGAAAGAGAAAATTTGAAATAAGATGATGAAAAATACCCATGTCAATCCATTATATCATATCAACTTCCCATGTCAATATTTTATTGCATTTGGCTGGCTATATCTTCCAATTAAAAGGAGTTGTTCCTAACTATGAAAGCAAAACATTGTGCATGGCTCCAAACTCATCTTGTTAACATAAATAAGTTCCATTATTCATCATTTCAAACTTAATATCTAACAAATTAAGCTCATAATCTCAAACTAAAATAGCTCCAGATGTTTTGCCTACACTAAATTCGATTTTACTAATCCATCATTCCTTGTTATTATTAACATAAAAAAAATGTAAAACCTCTATAATTGATTTTGATTTTGAAAGCCAGATTTAATAATAAAGTAAAAACATG